GGTTATTTTATGGATATTCGACTTTATAATCAAGTAAATTATATATAAATATATATATTAATTTTGGTTTTTTTTTATCTAAGGCTAAAACTGTTGCTGAACCATTTGCATTTGCTGAATATCGAAAGAAAAAATTACGTGAAAAAATTGATCTTAAACGAGAAAAAAGTCGTGTACCATTACCGGTAATTATTTTCCTATTTTTAATTTATTATTAGAAATAATTTCTTTTTTTCCTTTCATAAATAGATTGTACCAACAGTTAATAAAGATCTTGCTGAAAAACTTTTACATGATGAAAATGACTTAAATATAAAGAAAAAAAAGAAACAAAAATCTCTTGAAAATAAAGTAAGTTTCGTTTTTTCGTGTTAAACAAAAGGATAGAAGTGCATAAGACCATCCATCTTCAGTTTTCCTCTATTCAAAGTTTGACTAATGCAGATAAGTAAGTTAGAATTCTTGAAAAATTGCTTTCTTTTGTTACCAAATGATTCATTATGAAATTTTGCATTAGAGAAACTGAGGATGACCCATTGTCCTTTCAATGTATAATTCTTTTTTATTTTGTAGGAAACATCATCTATTCTTACAGATACTCGATTTCAATCATTATTTACAAATCCTGATATGCAGATTGATGTTAATCATGAAAATTTTAAAAATATTGCTCCACTTGTTTCTCGACTTAGTAAACAAAATTTAGTTGAAGATGAACCATTATCGGTATGAGAAATAAAAAAAATATTTCATGACTTTTTCTTTTTTTTTTTTCTTCACTTAAATAAAGGTTGAAGATGCTGCAGAAGAAGAAGAAGAGAAAGAAGATGATGATGACAATAATGATTTGATTCATGATATTCTTACTTCTGAAGAAGAAGAAGAAGAAGAAGAAAAAGAAAAACCTAATCGTAAAACAAAATTAGTACCACTTGATGCAATAAATGATATTGATCAAGAAACTCTTCGTTCATTATCATTTCGAGAACGAACAAAAAGAACTATGGATTCATCTTCTTCTCATTCATACAATCGAAATCAAGTAATATCAACTAATAAAGATAGTCGAAAACAAACAGATGATGATCATCGAAAAAATGTTCGACGTGCACCACGTGGTCGAATGAATAGTCGACATAATGAAACATAACAATAATGAATTTTTGTTAAAATTTCATTGTTAGTTTTTCTTTTTTTTAATAAATTCGTTTGTTTTGATGTCTAGTGAATTTTTATTTACTAGAAAAAAAAATGTATTTATAAATTGTGAATAGTTCTAAAACTTCAAGATTGATCATTTGCATCGATATTAGTACGGTAATTAGCCGAATGTAGAGTTCTTTCTGGTCAAATTTTTTATGTTTTACATACACATGCCATGTCAACATATTGCAAATATTTTATCGAATGAGTGATCCTTGTCGTCAATTGTAATTTAAAGAAGATCTTCATTGGAAGAACAAGACTTGTAATAAGCATTTAAATATTAAATTCAATATCTTCGTTTAAAATAAGCAGAGAAACTGACGAAGGAATCTATCCAACTGTTGAACACTGTTTGCCTTCGAGTAGGTCCCTGTAAGACTAAAAGTAATCCAAAAGGTTTTGGACTTATGGCCTACTGATGAAGAGTTATGGCTGGACTAGTCGTTTTGGTCCTGGTTTCATGAGTACTGGAATAATCTTCTCCATATCTATTTACAATACATCAGTCGTGACAATATGACTATCGACTTAAGTTTTGCATGACAATAAAAGGTATCATTCCTCGATTACCATGTCCTTCTATGGTAAAACACTGTTTTTTTTTAATATTGAATATCTCGTGAAAGACATTTTTGTTCCCGTTGAAATTTTCAGGACTAAGACCGCCATAACTCGTAGCCATAATAGAGAGTTGAACAGTATCCCATAATTAGACATGTTCCCTCGTTTGACTTAAACAGAATGAAATTTGATTGAGAATTACCCGACTCCTAGAGATTCTTCATATCAGTGGTGATCATTTTTGAACGCGCTTTCCAAAAGTATTCTTAGACGTTGTCCAATGCAAAATACTGGTCTCGAGATCAGTTGCAATCGGTTGAAAAAAAAGCAAAAAATGTGATTTTTCTACCAATTCCAAAATAGTTGTTTTGTAGCGGAGACAAGATTGATTTAGATTTTTTGAAGTTTTAACCGAACCGACACCGAGAGGAACTCGAAGAACGCTGAACCGAGACAAAAAAGAAATTTTTTAAAACTCCATTAAGGATAACTAAAATTTTGGATATGGATAGATGTGAGTGTGGATTGTGCATAGAATAGAGGTCTCGCCCTCATCCACATTCACACTCTAACATCTCTCCATAGACAAAAACTTTTCTTATGACAACTTTAGATTTTAGAAATTTTTTCTAGATGCATGTTATTGAGAATTATTTTTCTATTATTGCTAAGATCCTATCAATGCTTTTGGGCTGCTTGTGGCTGTGGGTGTTATATCCCTTTATTGGCATTCACAGCCACACCCCACTCACACTCTTGTTTGGTTTTAAATTTAATTGAATACTACAAAAATAACGATGACGAAAAAAAAGCAAAAAGTTGTTCATTGATCTGAACATTATCCAATACAAAAATAAATTCTGAGAGACGTCATTAACTATTAAGAAATAACATTACAATTGACAAAATACAAAATAGATTTAAATGTGAGTTAGTATTTTTTTTTTTGTTTTTCTGTATTTATAATTATCATTAATCAAAAAAGAATCTTTTCATTGAAAAGAAAAATAAAATAACGCGCTTTTCTATAGGTATGTGAAGAATAAAATAGATCTGTCTAGGTTCTTAGTTTCAATTCTATCAAAATCTCTTTGTAATTATTCTAGTTTCAATTCTAGCGACTTTTATTCTAATTATAAATATCTGAATCAAGATAAAATTTTCTTTCTCATCTTTATTCTGACAAATAAACTTATTGTCAAACATAAAACAAAAACAAAAAATACAATAATCAAAGTTTACATGATAATTATAATCACAATTAAAAAAATATTTCAATATAAAGACACAATTAAAGAAAATTAAATGAATCACCTTGAACAATAGGAAGTAAACCATCATATAAGAATATCATATTTATACCAAAACCATCAGTCTACATAAAGAAATTATTCTTCAGTAACTGTTATTTAAACGGACTTTTTTGGTCTTTTATTTGATATAGCAGCAGTTGATGAACGACCTTTTGTTACAGCTTGACCTAAAACACAAAACAATATAAATAGTTTGCATCAGAAAGATTTACCTTCAATAAAATCGTCAACGTATCTTTGGCTAATATTTAAAAAATGTGCTTCGACTTCATCGGTATGCTCTATATAAAAATATAAAAATACTAGTGAAAATGTAAAAGTTTCACACTTACTTCCATCATTAATCAAATTCAACATTGAGACACGTTCTTTGCGACAAAATTCTTGTATAGCTGCTTTACTAAAGAAAAAACATATTAATCATATGAGAGTGAAAGCCTACCTTTTCATAACTCGAAGTTCAGTTGAATCGATGGTTGGTTGAAGTGTATTGATATCATTGATTACTTCTTTAAAAAAAAAACTAATTTAGTAGAAAATACTACTTTAATCTACCTTGCCATCGTTTAAGTTCAAAATTAATTCCCACACGTAATTCGAGAGAGTTATTTTTTTGTTCCTGAGTTGAGGCCTGATCGTTGATGATGTTTGTTAAAAACTAAAAAGAGAATTGTTGTCGATGACAAAGTCGGAAATAATATTTACTTTTAGTTTTTCTTCATTATTTCCAACCATAATTTTATGTTGTAATTGATTGGACGATAACATTTCATTAAAATAAGAATATAATACAAGCAATTTGAATGACGATGACTAAGAATTAAATAAGAAATGTTTACGTTCGAATATACTCATTTCTACTGTTTATATACACTTGAAGAACAATAACATTCATAGGCGGACGACGATATAAATTCAGGAGAAGAAAATAAAAATGTTAGTCATGATTGGATGAGTTATCGATGTGTATATATCGTCCGTTTCGTTTTAACTTTTATAATGTCTTATAAATATTATGCTGATCTTTTTTTTAAAAAATGAATAGATGATACTATAGGTTATATTTTCTCATGATGGAGATTTGCGATAGAAACAATGTGGAATTGCTGAAATATAGGTAAGTATCCTAATTTGTTCATTATATTATTATACTTTAATTCTTTTGAAGGTGTTTATCGTCAGATATACTGTTAAATTAATTCTAATTTTTAATGCCAATGCAAGTACATATTCGCATATTTTTCTGTATTTGCAGTAATTCATCGATCAAACACATAAACTATAAGAATCATATTCGATATGGGTATTGGCCAAAGTATCAATTCTTCCTGTTCTCCTCCACTACCAATCTGTTGTCCAGCACCATCACCCATCTTTGTTCCGGTGTGCTGCTGTAATCAACAACTCGTCTGCGATCCTAGCTTAGGGCCATGTTGTGAAACTCAATGCTACCAGACAATGGTGCGAATACAATAATCATGAAATTTCTACGATTTAAAACGAAACAAACTATTTATTATTAATCCAGATTAGGTCAATATAGATCTTTTTTTTTTATTTATTCAAATCAGTCAATAAATGTGATAACTAACTATCAATAGGATCTACATCATACGAAATAAAACAAGAATCTCATGAATTTTTATAGATTTTTCTACTACAGCCTTATAGGAAAAGTGATTTGCATTGTCATCATTAAATTATCTATCTACAACGAATAAACTCTCATGTATACTCTTATTCGAATATAAGATAAATTCGAGTATAATATACACAGCAGAGATAAAATGAGAAAAGTCTATTTATATGATTCTATAAATCAATATGTGCCTTCATTGTAAAGATTTATCAACTACAGTCGAGCAATAAAAGTGATGGCATAAGTGAAATTTTTAATACTATATGAATGAACAGATTTCTTTAGATGTACTTTTTTTTTTATTAATATCATTTTTAATATATACAGAAAACATAATAGTTCACTTTTTTTCGAATTTTGAAAATACATAGTTGTGTAGAACTTAGAAAGCTTTTTGAAATAGTATCTTTTATAAATAATGGTAAAGATAATACATTTTCCTACAAACTATGCATGTTATTGTAATTGATACAATATGGTGAAATCTATAAGTAAAATAATAAATATATATGTTGAAGTTAAAAATCAAATATTTGTTCTTCATATTCATAATACGTATTATTTCGATGATATTTTTTTATTTCTAGATATACAACGACATAATGATTAAGGACATATCAATGTGCTATGTCGATACACTCCCACATGAAACAAAAGTATTCGCTATTTCGATGTTCTTTAATGGTAGAATAAATATAAAGTGTTCAGTTGAAGTGACTAATGACGAGAAAAAAAAGATAGTTTCTTTTATATTTATAGATTTTTCTATTCTAGCTTTAAAGTTTGCTTATCATCGTGAGATTG